AGGCAAGGCAGAAATATGGTTTGATGGGTATATTATGCAAAAACACCATGTTACATGGCATGAGTTTGAAGCTGATCTCTGTCATAGATTTAGTGATAGATGTTTTTCTGATATTGTTGAAGAATTTACTAAATTGACTCAGAAAGGGTCTGTAGAGGATTATCCGGAGAAGTTTGAGGAGTTACAACCTCATATGCTTTTGCAGAATCCTACTTTGACTGAGGAATTTTTTGTGTCACTCTTTATTAGTGGACTCGGAGATGATATTAAACATAGGGTCAAGGCTTTAGATCCTAATAATTTATTTGAAGTATGTAAGCAAGCTAAACTCTATGAATTATCTGTAGAGTTTAAAAACAGAAGGTTGAGGCCTTCTTTTAAAGTCCCACCCTACCCAAACCCCAGTACTATTTCTAAACCATCTGCACTGCCAGTTAATACAAAACCTACAGCAGTAGCAACTCCTAAACAGAGTCTTATGGAGCATAGAAGGAAGAATAATCTTTGTTTTAAATGTGGTGAGAAGTATCTTCCAGGTCATCAATGTAAAAATAGACAGTTGAACATGATTACAGAAGAAGTGGATACTCATTCAGTGGAAATTTTTCCTACAGATTCGGATCAGACTCTACAAACAGAACAAGAAACTTTAGAAATCTCTATGAATGCTATTACTGGCTCTATTGGTCATACTACATTGAGAATCCAGGGTACTATTCAAGGGAAACCATTGAGTATCCTCATTGACAGTGGCAGAACACATAGGTTTTTAACTCCTAAATGGGCTGATGCTGGGATTCAGATTATTACTCCTTATCCTTTGGCTATTACTGTGGCTAATGGCCAACAACTATTCAGTACTGCTAGATGCAATAAAGTAGAGTAGCAAATACAGGGACATACTTTTTTACATGATTTTAGGTTGCTTAAACTGGGTGGGAGTGACATGGTTTTAGGAGTAGATTGGATGAAGTTATTCAGTCCAATATTAATGGACTTCAATCATATGACTTTAAGTTTTGATCATGAAGGGTAGCAGATTTGTATTCAAGGATAGCAGCCCTCAACTGAACTACAGCAAATTTCAGGGGCTACATTACTTAAAATGAGTGCAGGGGATTCTGATATTTTAGGGCATATTATCCTATTTACTATGGCAGGAAGTTCTTTTGCTATTCCTATGGAACTTCAACATATCTTGGAGAAATATAGCTTAGTTTTTGCAGAACCTGAAGGGCTACCTCCCCAGAGGTCTCATGATCATGCCATTCCACTTAAATCTACTGCCACACCAGTTAATTTACGGCCTTACAGATTTCCTCACAATCAGAAGGCTGAGGTTGAAAGATAGATCACTACAATGCTTTATTCTTCTGTCATTCAACCTAGTAGAAGCCCCTTTGCCTCTCCCTGCCTTCTTATTAAAAAGAAGGATGGCACTTGGAGGTTTTGTGTAGATTACAGACAACTTAATAGTATGACTATTAAGGACAAATTTCCTATTCCTATAGTGGAGGATTTATTGGATGAGCTACATGGGGCAGTTTACTTTTCAAAAATTGATATGAGGTCAGGTTATTGGCATATTAGAATTAAACCAGAAGACATTTACAAGACTGCATTTAGAACACATCAAGGCTATTATGAATTTAAGGTGATGCCTTTTGGCCTTACTAATTTTCCTACTACATTCCAGGCACTTATAAATGACTTTTTTAATTCTTTCCTTAGAAAATTTGTTTTGGTTTTCTTTGATGATATATTGGTGTACAGCAGTAGTATGGCTGACCATGTTGAACATTTACAGTTAGTATTGGAAGTTTTGCAAAAGAATCAATTATTTATAAAACTCTCCAAATGTTTTTTTGGACAGGCTAAAGTGGAGTATCTGGGCCTTATTATCTCTGCTACAGGGATATCTACAGACCCTAGTAAGGTGGAAGCAATGCATACTTGGCCTAAACCTAAATCCCTTAAATCTCTTAGAGGATTTCTTGGCCTAACAGGATACTACAGGAGATTTATTAAGAATTATGGCATTATTAGCAGACCATTGACACAGACGTTAAAAAATGATGGGTTTTAATGGACTTCTCCTGCTTATACTGCTTTTGAGGATCTTAAGAAAGCTATGTGCTCTGCTCCAGTTTTGGCATTACCAGATTTTTCAAAGACTTTTTATCTGGAAACAGATGCTAGCTCTGGGGGTATAGGAGTTGTTCTTTCACAAGAGGGAAGACCTATTACCTATTTGAGTAAAGCTTTAAGCCCTACACACTCAGACCTGTCTATTTATGAAAGAGAATATCTTGCTATTCTCTTGGATGTTTCTAAATGGAGACATTATTTGGAAAGCATACCATTTGTTATTAAAACTGACCATGAGCCCTTGAAATATCTTTTGGAGCAGAAGCTGATTACTACCATCCAGAAGAAAGGGTTGACAAAGTTATTGGGTTTAGACTACACTATTCAGTATAGAAAGGGGAAATCAAATGTAGTTGATGATGCTTTATCTAGAACATGGGAGGATCAAGCTTCTTGTTTGATTATGGGAGTGACAGTTTTGGTGCCTACTTGGGTTCAAGAGATTGAGGAAAGCTATAAGGATGATTCTCTAGCTCAAAATTGGATTTCCATTTTAACTATTAATTCTGCTGCTGACAATAAATGGAAATATGCTAAGGCTGTTCTCAGATATGATGGGAGAGTTTATATTGGAGCTAATGGAAGCCTTAGGTTGAAAGTTATACATACTTTGCATGATTCTCCTCAGGGTGGACATTCAGGGGCACAGGCTACATATTATAGGATTAGGTCAAATTTTTATTGGCCAAATCTTAAAGCTATGGTTGCTACTTATGTGAGGTGTTGTGAAGTTTGTCAGCAAACTAAGGTGGAACATGTGGCAAAACCTGGTTTGCTACAGCCCCTACATATTCCTAATCAAGCATGGGAAATAATTACTATGGATTTTATTGAGGGTTTGCCTACATCATTCAAGAAAAATTGTATTTTGGTAATTGTGGATAAATTTACCAAATACAGTCATTTTTTGTCCTTAGCTCATCCTTATTCTGCTGTAGAGGTTGCTAAACTCTACCTAGACAATGTTTATAAACTACATGGCCAGCCTAAAATGGTTATCTCTGACAGAGATAAGACCTTTACTAGTTTGTTTTGGAAAGAATTGATGAAATAATTAGGGACAATGACACTGTTCAGCACTGCTTATCATCCAGAAATGGATGGACAAACAGAGAGAGTCAATCAGTGTTTATAGCAGTATTTAAGGGGCATTTGTTTTTTTCAGCCTAGACATTGGGCTAAATGGCTCCCTCAGGCAGAATGGTGGTACAACACCACTTACCATACTGCTTTAAAATTAACTCCCTTTCAGGCTTTATATGGGTACAAACCACCTATTATGGTTTGGCCAATGGATACTACAGTTCAGTCAGTGAGTGAAATTATGTCTAACAGGGAGCATATAAGGCAAATGGTCAAGGATCAATTAGAAGTAGGCAGTAACAGAATGAAGCAACAGGCTGATAAAAATATATCAGAAAGGGTTTTTCAAATTGGAGAATTGGTGTACCTGAAGTTGCAGCCGTATAGACAATCTTCAATTGCCTTGCGAAAAAATCTCAAGTTAGCAGTAAAATATTATGGACCATTCAAAATACTTGAAAAAATAGGTGAGGTGGCTTATCCGTTGGCCTTACCTGATTCTTCGAGACTCCATCCTGTATTTCACGTAAGCCTTTTAAAGAGATTCATTGGAGATTCATCGGTGACTGCTACAGATCCTCCTGCAATAAACGATGATGGTCAGTTACAGATTAAACCCTTAAAATTTATGGGAAGACGTAACGTGAATAGAAATGGAAAGCCAATCACTCAGCTTTTGGTTCAATGGGAAAACTTGGATGAATCGAATAATACCTGGGAAGATTATTCGTTTCTGTGTGGCCAGTTTTCTTTGTTTGATCCTTGGGGACAAGGCTCATCTCGTGGGGCGGGTATTATTATAGTTAGAGAAGAAGATGAAGAACGGAGGAACGAAAAGGATTTGGGAATGGAGAAAAGAGGGTTAGGGATTTTGAAGGATGAAGGATTAGGGATTCACGAGAGTAGATTGGGGATTGAAATCAGAAAAGGGATTAAAGCACGAGTGAAATTTGACTTACCTGTTGATGTGGAGGCAGGCCAAGGAGGTTTGGGGCGAGATGGAGCGGCCCAATACCTGAAATACAAAAGAAAAAGGAATCAGTTTGTTAAGCATTCAGTTATAAGAATTGCCAGCTGGCTTTGTTAGATTTACCAGTATGAATTGTAACTAAATAATACCTCATGGGAAGCACATTTCCTTTTATGATTTGAATGAATGAGAATACGTTTTCTGTAATCTCCCTTCTTCTCTTTCCAAAATTCTCTATTCTTTGATAATTTCTTCTTCTTATTTCTCATTCCACAACAGGAGGAAAGAGGAGATAAACAATTTGAGAGAGGGAGGAATAGAGTAAAACAAAATTAAGAGTATGTTATTTGTTTTTTATTTTATATTTGAATCTAAAGAAAAAATCAGAAAATAAAATATCAATATGTGTCGCGTTCTAATTGGATATTAATTTTTTAACGACAGTTAAACTTATGCATATAAAAGTATAACGAAAAAAATTTTAAACACATATTTTTAAAGAAGAAAATTTTTAAATACCAAACCGCTTTTTAAGATACAATTTAAATACTAAAAAAATGTAATAATCCTCTAAAAAATTCGTTATCTCACCGATGTACAATTAACTTGTTTGTATTACTCGCAGAGTGTGATTGTAAAGCAGGGGTAGCAAATCAAACCATTAAACCGTCATTAACAGGCGGGAAAAGCCATTTCAAAATAATATAATGGCGCTCTCCGTACCATCTCCATTTTCTTACTACTACTGATAAAAGTCTCTTCTAAGAAGGAAATCATCAAAAATGAAATTCCCCAAGAATCCTTTCAAGTAAATCACCTAAAATGAAAGTCGATCAAGAGAACCGCGTGCCACCGACGCCCTCTTCATCTCCTTCTAAGAAGCGAACTTCCTCGACTAACTCTTTTCTTCTTCAGCCTTCCTCGGCCAAGAAACGGGTCGTTCTAGGTGAACTCACCTGCTCCATTGATACCGGATCGGTTCATAACCCGAATTGCATATCCAAGAATGAGAGATTTAGAGATAGAGATAGCGATAAGAAGCCAACACGTGAATTGAAAGAGAACAAGCAAAAACCTGGGGATGTGATTGAAGGAAGCTTTTCCGATCTGAAGAAATGCTCTTTTTCATCTTCTATATATTTACATCTCCACTTTCTCGAGGTATTTACGAATAATAGTTTCCCCCTCATATTCTAATTTCTATGTATCTCTTTGATTTGAACAAGTTTGATGCTTTTGTGTCAACGATAATTAGGTATTAAATTTGATTTGAAAAATCTGGTTATGTCCGACATGAATTGTTTGAGTATTCATTAGCTATGTTGCACGGGTACAGTAATCCAATGCCGTTTCAAGTACCTAATACAAAGATAAAAATGAGTATGGTACGAGTACAATTTAGGTATGTATCAGGACGTCTCATGTTAAAAGGGTATGGTTAAAATTAGTTAATAGGTTGGATAGATTTCTGGGATTGTATCAAGAATGATGTTTGATCTTTATGCTTGTATCCGAGGTTACTTTTTAGATTTAACTTAAAAAAATAAAGAAAAAGATGATTTGAAATAAGAAATTGAAGTTGATTTTGATGTCTAGAATATCACCGACTTACAACGAATTTTCGAATGAGATTAGAGTATTTCTGCATTGAGATGTCTTCTTATGTATGAATCGTCTTTTAATTACTTTTCTAGTGAGTCTTGAAACGCCTCAATTGGACATTGAAAATTCAAAATTTGTTCATTTTAACAAAAGTAGTGCAAGTAAAAAACTGGATATGACGTGATTTTATAGTAATTACTAATTTTGAAATTTAGTTATATTTACGTGCTATACTCATACCAAATAACTTTGAAAATTACCGTACCTGTCCTTGTGTCTGCATCGATGCACATAGTTCATTAGCACATTCTATGTTTGAATCTCATCAGCAGCCCTATTTGGCTACTCAAAAAAAAAATCCGGGATTTAAGGTTTAGATTTTGATCCAAAAGAAAATAGAAAGGACTCTGTTTCATTCTTATGATAACAGTAAAATAATGGCTAATGATAAATTCGATGCAGATTGAGGAGAAAAGGAGGCCATTGCCCGATTACATAGAGAAGGTGCAGAATGATCATATTACAGTGAATATGCGGGAAATTCTTATGGGATGGTTGGTGGAAGTAACCGAGGAGTACAAACTTGTTTCCGATACCCTTTATCTTACAGTGTCATACATTGACATATTCTTGTCGGCTCATTCTGTCAGTCGGAACAAATTGCAACTCCTTGGTGTTTCTTGCATGCTTATTGCTTGGTAAACACGTTAACCCAGTTTTGTTCTTATTTTATTTCGTTTTCTTATTGAATTGATGATTCATCGATGACACAGTAAGTACGAAGAGATCACCCCACCAGGTATTGATGATTTTTGCTACATAACAGATAATGCTTACACCAAGGAAGAGGTATATTTACATCTCATCGTTCCTTTCATCTTTATTTTCGTCTTCCCTCTCTTTTTCTCGTTGTCTTTTGGACATTTTAAATATTAAAGCTCGACAATTTGCAGGTGATTGAGATGGAGAAAGACATTCTTAAATTGTTGGATTTCAAAATTGGTACTCCCACTACTAGGAATTTCCTCAGGCAAGAATGTTATCCAAATGTTATTGTCTTTTCCTTTTATAATTATTCTAATACTTTTCCCCTCCCCCAATGTGATTTGCTTAATGATAATAAGTGAGGTACATGGTATGCTTTCGTTGTGCTTGCAGACTTATCATGAGAGTTGCACAGGGAAAATGCAAAGTAGGCACTGAACACTTTTCCAGTATACCTATATTTGTACAGGCTGATAGTTTTTTTTTTTTTTTACTTTTTACTGATTCTGCATTCTTTTGTGTGCTCCACAGTATCAAGAATTGCAGTTGGAATTTTTGAGTTGTTATCTAGCGGAGCTGAGCTTGCTGGACTATGGATGTCTACGATTCTTACCGTCGATAGTCGCTTCAGCAGCTATTTTTCTTTCAAGATTCATAATCCAACCAAACGCACATCCTTGGGTAAGAAATCCATATATTTTGTGATGTTTGTGCACCATAAGATTGGATGTATAACAGTTTGCCTTGTTCACATTTTATTAATTTATGGCACTGCAAATTACTTGATCAGCGTAGGTAATATCATAAAAAATGCCAAAAAGCTTGTGGTAATTTTGTGCTTTACAGTTACTGTAGTTTCCATTAGATTAAAATTCATCGTATGGCGAAGCTTGATGTTTACATGAATGTATATCCACTACGTAAAAGGGCAACGAATTAATTTGAGGGGATAAACTTTAACACCCAGGTTTCATATTCCTAGAGATGACAATGATCATTTGTAAAAGAAGAAGCAATAATCACCCGGGGAATTCTTTGTGTTTGTTCATGCTTCTGAGAAGATAACTTATTCTTTTACTGGTATTCCAGAGCAAGTCACTGCAATGTCACTCAGGCTACAGACCAATTGACTTAAAGGAATGCGTCCTTTCCATCCATGCCTTGCATCTGAATCGAAAACGAAGCTATTTGAGAGCCGTGACAGAAAAGTATATGCAGCACAAGGTGATTATCCATGGTATCAATGTTTCATGTTCAGATGATTATAATAGGATTAGCATGCAGCTAACCATGGCTGATAGTTTCTTTAACTGGCTGAATGATGCAATTTGAAACAGTTCAAGGGCGTGGCGATGCTGTCTCCGCCATCGGAAGTGCCTGAATGTTATTTTAAGGATGCCGTTGATGAATGTTGTCTTTGCCAACTGGACGATTAGAGTTGTTGAAATGTTGTCCTTGCTCAATGTCCTTACTTTTTTGGCAAAGTTAGTTCTGGAACTGTTAGTTTTGTAAATCTTGATGTTAAACAGAAATATAGCCCCATACATATAGACCCACACTGTGAAGACACTCATTTTTTTAAAAGATAGAACTAGCAAGAGTTTATCTCCTAAGAGGATTTTTCCACTACTATATCTTTTAAAGCAACGATACTAACAAATGTGCAACAACCGAGCAAAGAGTCTAATTGCATTACGATTCTATTATTAATAGGATTCTAAAAATAGTTAGTTTTTTTCACTATAAATATATGTAATCCTCTCCTTTGTAAGACATAGATTTACATACAAGATACAGAGGAAAGCACGAACAATACAAAGGTAAAGCTATTGTAAACGATTCGAAAAGGAAATAAAAGGTAGTATATTTTTTTACATTGATTCGTTCATTTATCGTATGTGCATGTTATTTTTCTTGAGATTTGGTTTGAATAACCCAAAGCGTGGATTGCGTCGATGACCAAAAAGGGGTAGGGTTTTGAAGTTTCGAACCTAAATCTATTCATGAGGTATGTTTATTTTTTTTAAGTTATTTAATATTCCCCTTAAGTCAATCTTAATTTTTAATTTACCTTGAAATTTATCCTTTAATTTTACTTTTATATTAATTTCGTCCCCTATATATTTATTTTTAATTATATATTTTTATTTATTTACTATATTCCTTTTTTATTTATATTATATTATTTTTATTATATATATATTATATCATTATATATATATATATATATATATATATATATATGTATAGATGTATTAATTTTTCTCCATTTACTATGTATATATATTTTTTCTTAATATTATATTTTATACGTTTTTATATATATTTTTTCTTAATATTCTATTTTTATTTTTATTTATTTATATATATTATATTTTTACTTTATTTTATTTTTTTCTATTATTTTTTTCTTAATATCATGTATATATTTATTTTTTATTTGTTTTACTTAGTATTATATATTTATTATTTTTATTTGTTTTAGTAAATACTATTTTATATGTACACATTATTTTTATTCCTTTTTAATTTCTTTTATTTTTTTTATTTTTTTACTCCATTAATATTTTCCCTTTTATTTGTGTCTTTGTTTTTTAATATTTTATTCAATTTGTTTATTTTTTTACCTGTTTTGTTATTTTCTATTTTTTCTTGTTTTATTTATTATTCTCACGTTTGCACACTTGCTATCCTAATTCGATTTTATACTCCGCTACGAGTTAAATGTTTTTATCTTTTAAGGGCATTCAAATCAATCAATTGTAAGTAATTTGAATCGGGTCTGTTAAATTTTAATTTTAATTTCGAATTTTCGCAACTAAGACAACCGGAAAATTAATTGGTACCGAAAGGGCGGTTCAAGGTGCTAATCCTTCCTTGACCGTAACCGACTCCCGAACCCGACACATTTCTGGTAAAAACGTATATCAGGTAAGATGGTGTCTAACCCACCTAAATTCGTTTTAAAATGGTCGGTGGCGACTCCAATCCACATATTTCAAGTCGAAGCCCAATTCTGGGGCCCAACCGAAAGACGGTTACGACAGCTTGGCGACTCCGCTGGGGACACAGATAAGTGAGTCAGGCTAAGATAATTTCCAGTTGTCTTTTTAACGAAAAGGGTAAGTTTAAATTTTAAGGTAACATTTCGATCCTTATTACTTACTTTTGATCATTTTTTCGAGTAAATAGTTGTACTGACCGTTTTCTAATGATTTCAGCTTTTCAAACTTATTTTTCACTTAAGGCTATAAACCCGAGCTCCAAACACGTTTTAAGTGGGGGTGAAAGCGACGCCTTCGTGTGAATTTATTCACCGTGCGGGCCTAGCAATTAGCCTTCGGGATTCATATACCTTATGTCTTCGTGTGAATTTATTCACCGTGCAGGCATAAGAGAATGTTTCCTCTCGAGTTTAACTTAGTCCACACAAGCTTGTAATGGGTTAGGACTAAGGGTCTGACAGGCCCAAGGGGCACCGACAAGGAGAACTCGGGTACCGTTTTTTAGAACCTACACCGGGAGACTACAAGGAATTAGAGCCCACCCCAAAACCTCATTTCAAACCCTAGGCTGCTTTGATATTATTTCCTACTTTATTTTCTGTTCAAAGCATGTGAACTAGAAATTTATGTGGTTAGGACTTTTTCAAAATCAACTTTCGGGATAGAGATCATGTCCGGGTAGGAATAATAAGCATGTGGGGTAGATATCATGTGTGTATGACTTTTTATTTTCATTAATTTTTTTCTATAATCCTTATCTTACTAACCTTTTTCCTTTAACTTTTATTTTCTTTTACTTCATTTTTTTTATCATTTACATCATTCAAAAGAGGTGTTAATCCACAAAAACATGTTCGTTAACCATAAATAATTTGCATTAATGGACAAAGGGGTTGTAATACAAGAGGTAAAAAACACAGAGGTCCGATTATGGTCAGAAAAGACTCAGAAGGAAAAGGGAGACACTCTACAGGGTAACTATCTGTCACGTTCAATCAAGAAGACGTGGTGCCCACAATCGAAGAGTATACCACTCTGTTGCATTGTGAATGACTCAGAATGGACCAAGATTTACACCAAGCACATCAAAAGTCCACTTTTCGAAAATGGTTTGGCAAAGGTTGCAGGGGCAAGATGAGAAAAAGGCTACTGACCGGGAAAGTCCCTTCAGAGACAACAAGAACAAGATGTTGAAACCCTAGCTGAGTTAGAGGCCATTGTGGACAGATTCAAGAGACAAACAAATGAACTTTAGATAGCTTCTATCGACGGAAGGCTCCAATGGTGTTTCTGTTAGGGAACAGACTCAACAGAGAGTTAAAGCCAGAAATGCAGTCATTCGATATTTCTGAGAACAAGTACAAAAAGCAGCTCAACACGGTTCAGCCAGAGAAACTGGTGCAGTTCGACAGGGTATTCAACCAATGACAGACAAAGGCAAATGACTAGTCAACATATTCCGGGTCTAGAGGATTTAGTCTGGATGTACCTTTAAATATGTTTATTGTCTCTTAAAGGATAAAACACTTTTGTCCCAATAAAGATTATTTATAATAACATACATGTTTTTGGATCAATGCCTCGAACATTTCATGTATTTTTGCATTTTGCATTTTGCATCTATATTTCATTTTTAAGCATTTTCATAAACATGAAATTTATTCATAGAGGATTCGATGAAGTGGTTTTAACCACATAACACCACATGGAAGCAATATATTAACAATTAAAGAAAAAACTGAAATCAGTATAGTGGGAGCTTGATCAGTTAATTGTAGGACTAAGCCTGCCAGGATGATCTGAGAAAAGAGTCCACATCTCTTAAGGGCTACGATGTTGAAGCTGTTTGCGGTTACCACATAGGAACCCCCAAACATTCCTCTAAGAACTGTAAGGCACTGAAGTGCAAGATCCAAAACATGATGGCTTTAGGGGCATGAACAGCCGAAGAAGGGGACATTGCATATATCATTTGCACTTAGAGGATTGTTTTGTTTGAACACGTCTTTGATCTTTCATGTTTGCTTAATCTTTTAAACGATTGAATTTATGCTACTTTCTAAGGTAGAGCAATTGAACAAATTTTAATATTTAGTTCTTCGAATATTAAATGAATTAAGGATTCTTTTAATTCTTAAGGAATTATAGATTTTTGACATATGTCAAGATTATACCTTTCTTATCCTGTCTCAAACCCTAAAATAAAATACCTTGATTCTTTACCCAAAGTAACTCATGTTCATTACCAAAAAGACCAAATTTTGACATTACCTCCCTTTGAAACTTTTGAACATTGCCTTTATTTTTTGATACACTCATACCTTTCTTTGAGTCAAATAAAGTCACACCATTGTCTTTTTAGACTTAAAATTGACATTTTTATGCCATTAAAACCCAAGGCATTGAGTTGTTCATTTGAACATGAGCCTTCTTCTAAGACACAACTTGGGGCATCTCGCAGAAAGCATGAACATTGAGACATGTTGGGGGCAAGAAGCAGAAAGAAGAATTTACTCGAAATAATTCTACCATGCATTAATTGCACTGTTTTCATATGAATAAAATTAATCATGAAAATCTATCCCCCTGTGGATACCTCTTCTGTGAGGACTTCCATGTATGAAATAATGAACGACTTTCTTTCTTCATCCCTTCACAATAAGAGAAAATATATATCCCCTGTGTCCTCTTTTGAGCCTATAGTATTTTTCTTCTAATTCAACCCTAACCAAGGATCACCCTCCACACTGGGGGGTAAGGTGGAGAAAATCTGCTCATATGAGTGAAGACATTGATTCAGATGAGATACCGAAAGGTGAACCAAATGCCAAGTGTGAAGATTCAATCAGAACAAAAAGAGAAAAAAGTAAAGAGAAAATAAAAAGAGAAAAAACAAAGGAAAATTGAAAAAAAAGAAAACAAGATGCATATGCAAAGGTTCTCTCGATTCAAACGACGCGTCGAGATTCAAACTATGAGATTGATCAAGCACAATCATTTCCGAATCACTGAATCACTTCGCTCGAAGATCATAGAGCATCAAGAGAGAGACACATACGTGCAGATTCAAATTGAGCAAGATATGATTGAAAACATCAGAATGAATTGATCATTGGTTCAATCACCCTTAAACACTTGTTTGGGCCTTTTATCCATTTCTTTCATAACCATGAACCATGACCTACATTACTTGCCTTAAAAGTCCCTTCTAATCATACATGGATTTCTGAACAGAATAGACTATCTTCAGATTTCATCCTGCCCATCAGGATTAATCTTTATTTGCAGAAAATAGTGTAATTAATGCATGATAGAGAAAAATAACAAAGGAGGGTTCAAGACATAAATTCTGAATGACGTCTTGAAACAAAAGGAGGATTCGAGTTGAAAACCTGAAAAGGCGGCTCGAATACAAAAATTGGGCAGCTGAGGCGATCGCACGAATTCCTTGATAAGGCATCACACAATCCGAGCTTGACCATGAAAGTTGGGAATCGGAGAACACTTCCACTAAGAGGAGCATACAAGATACCCCATCAAACTTTTGAGCAT